AATCCAGTCTTTGGAGGCCTAGCGGCCCGTCTCATGTTAGTATTCGGAATCAGCACACTCGATTACCTATTGTTCGCTAAGTTTTAAGCTAGAAGCGATTTATCACTTGGTGTCCTTTCCTCGTAAGGCTAGATGAATTTTCAGTTAACATAAGCAATTGTGCAGGCTGTGAAGACTTTTGGGAATAATTTTTTAATTCATGTGCGCTATGTCGCCCAAACAGCATTGGATCATTCCTCACTTGTACCGAATAATCGTACTCCTCCACTCATCCGAGCACTCGCCTACCGTACTTGTCATACTGATCACAATTTCTAGCAATAACTTTCAAAAAAGAGTTTCGATATTGCTATAGCATCGGATCTATATTATGACACCGCTTATTACCTGTGTTGATAGAAAGGTTGTGGAAAAGCAGTCAAGAAGGCTGTGAGCGTAGTAAAAACCAATCCAGACTTGTAAGAGTTATTCTTCCCTACAACTAACAATCAGTAGTAAAACTCAATCATTGGTAATTGAGAAATTTTAATCAACTGTCTTAGTCTTAACTTTACTTGCACTTCGTGCTGATAAATCGCAATTTTAAACAATTTTAACACCAATTTTAATTTGGCTGATTGTTGGTTGATATTGCAACTAAGCATTGTTATCATTGAAGTACATTAAAATTTTCTCTCAAATATGTGTAGACACTCGTAAAATATTCACAATTAACATATATGTATATGAGTGAATAATACAATCATTGTAACGTTCATTTTCTTCATGTAAAAAGAGGATATTTTTGCTATTAAGCAATTTTAAAATTTTTTTCTTGTTTTGTTTATTTACGCTAGGCCTACTACTATGCTAGAAGCCAACCTTTTGTCTGCTATAGTTTACGAGATATAACTCTTGTTTTTCGGCGTTGGTTGGTCTTTGTCGCTGTCTACTGAGAGAAAACAAATTTTTTTCAATATATTTAGTCTTTCAAGAGTAATATTGCTTTTCTATCTTGTAGGCCACATCTTTCTCTATAATCTCACATCATTTGATTCCAGAAAGAGACAAATTCCAATTTGAAAAAGCTGATCTTTGCTCTTTTACGTACTTTGAAATTTATGTCCGGTGAGATTTCAAAGCGTAATGTAGAGCTAAAGAAAAAACTGGAAATGATTGTTAATAAGTAGAATCGATACATCTTTGAATGCGTAACGAATTGATAAGAAAATATAATTTGAAAAGTACTTTCTCATTTATAGAAAATTCTATTGTATTGTTGAAAATAGCGGCTTTACCCACAAAATGTCCGGTGAGACTTTCGATTTTGTTTTTTAGCTATCTCGATAAATAATATTCCGATCAAGATCAAACTTTAATCATTTTTAGATCTCATGAGGTTTGATATTTAGTAACAAGATGAACTTGAAATATTGCATCGTTTAAGAGAACTTTGAAAAATACACAAAAATATCCGGTAAGATTTCTACATGCTTATTTTCAATGAGAATAGAACCAAATTCAACTTATGACACATCAATCAATTCGACTGAATGTGCTCTATTCAACCACGAAGCTCAAAAGTATTAGTTCAGCAAATGCTAGTCAGGGCCCTAAATTGCGGGGTGGGGGTGTATACCCCCCCCAAAATAAAAATTTGTCTTCTCCTTCAAGAGGAAATTAAAATTTTTTTTTCTTTGTTTTTGGTCGCATAGCGAAAAAATTTTTTCTTACAACAAAACAATTTTTCGCTGCGTGAAGCTTTAAAAATCTTTTACACCCCCTCCGAAAGTTGACTTCCTATTTATGACCCTGGCGGCATTTCCAATGGGAAATCTACATGATAAAGTTTTGGAAGTGGCATCATTGGATTTAGCTCATCAAAATCTATCGATCCATGCATAATACCTATTATTTCTCTCAAGTATAATTGGGTTTATCTACAATCACCTTGGGGATTCAGCTTCTTATAGCACCGAAAACACATTTTCTTGCTGCTTTGATTATAAAGTGTTGGGAAAAAGGTTTCCTATTTGATATCTGGTGTAGTAAAACTCAACCCGACACTCTGAACATCTTTTTGTAAGCAACTTATTTTTGGAAAAATTTTTTTAAAATGGTACGATGGCTATACCATTCACTCATATATATATATATATATATATATCCAAGTGCGATATTATTAGTTACTTTCTGGATCTCTGAAAACCATGTTTAAAATCCCATCATGAGAACATCGTGCCCGATTTGGATTATCAAGATGTGGAAGCGTTTGTCCATATTCCACCATGTTTTTATCTTTATTGGTGATTAGTAAAATACTTTTTTCTGTTATGTTTATAGTGAATTTACAAATTTACTTAGTCTGCTGTCAAGGATCCTGTTCCTTTCAAGTCATATTTTGTTACTGCACGCAAGTTCCTCTTAACATGAAGGTAGATGAGAAGTTGGAAAAAACAAAAATAAGAATCAGTTTTCTCACGAACTATGCACTTTTCCAAAATTAGATGATCTCGTGCGATACAACGATTTTATGGTAGGGGCGATCTATGTGATTTTGAGTAGTGGTGTACCATAGCATATAAACGAGAGAAAAAAAAAGAAAAATATCCAATGTCATAAAACAATCATCGTAAAATATTTAGAAACACTTCTCAGAGTTTGATACACAAACAAAAGCGTTCCATTCTGTGAAAAAAATGCGTTTTCTCTTGTTTTGAAATGAAAACTGGAGGATGAACGCACGTCTTATTTCTATTGATTTTGTTTCGTTTCAAAACGAGACTGTCAAAGCAATAATAGAAAACTTTTTATAGAAAATTTAGGATTAAGTCGTTCGTGACACAGAGAAACAGCAAAGAAAAACAAAAGGAGAGTAACACATTTGACTCAGTTATTTGATGAACGTATACAAAATAGTTTCTTTTAAGCAATTTATTCTTATAAAAGTTTGATGGTTAATTTATTTCCAAAAAACAAAAATGAGAGATGAAAATTTACTTAATATGAATATTGACAAATGTCGCTAAAAGTATAATAAGTAACAAAAACAAAAAAACTTGTCAAATGTAAAAGTGTGTGTATGTATATTTGAACCATATTTTTTTCATCTAAAAATGATAATATAGAATAAATTATCTTCGGTTGACAAGCTATTTTATTTCATGATCTAGTATACTTTTTTTTTTATAGCTAAAAAAATATTTTGCCATCACTAATTTAAATGTGATACATCCATCTTTATATAGTTTTTATATAGAACAGTGTTAAATTACACTTTTATTTATAGATTTGAACTGACAGGATCTCCGGATGAACACACAAATAGAAGCATAAAATGAATGTCAATAGATGAACGGTTTGCTGTTATTTTCACTTGGGTTTTTTATTCTCAATGAAAATTTTCTCTAACTTTATGAAAGAACACGTTAACAAATCTTGATAATCATGTCCTTGATTTTATTAATATAGTCAATAGATGAAAACAAACTGTTTCTATCTCTCTCTCTCTCTCTCTCTCTCTCTCTCTATCACATTTCTAAAAACAATATATTATCAATTACGTTGCAACAAATTTTGTGAATATTATTATTATTACAGTGTTTTTGATCAATGACAGAGACTATTTTTATTATATAATTTGATCGAAAGCAAAAAATCGACACGAGCGAAAGAGAATACAAATAGACTATATTTGATTCTAGAAAAGGTTTTTATGTTAGGGCTTGTGTGCAAATATTTCTAGTACTATAGAATGAATTTTCAAACGATGAGAGATAGAGAGAGTGAGAGAGAAGGAGATGAGACTAATTTCCATTATTAAGTAAAAAAGAATATTTATCTATACAGATTAAGAGAAAAAACATCGATAATATAAGTTAACAGAACTAGAAATAAAATTTCTTCTATTACAGTCACTATATTTTGTCTATAGTTATGTAGTTTTGTTTTGTTACTCTTGAACAAAATATAGCATGATGATTTTATCTATTGTAATCTTAATTATCTTTTTCATATATTCTAAAGCTTATAATCTATCCGATGGTCAAATACAATGTTATAATAATTGTAAATTTCGTCAATCATTTGATGAACAATTATTATTAGATCAAAATTGTATAGAATATATTAATAGTACAAATTGTTATGTTGAAATAACATTTGATTATAAAGAGCGACAGGTTCAATTGTCATTTGGGAAATCTCATACGGGTACGTTTTAATACCATTTTAAATCTACAAATACATCAGAACGATGAACGAATGCTGATTTCATCCATATATACAGTTCATTCATTAATTATACAGAATTTTTGTCATAAAATAATAATCATTTTCTCATCAATCATATCATAGATACCACAGCTCGGTATGGTTCCAATTTTTGGGATCGGACCTTAACTCTTTGAAACCAGGACCACTTCGGACCATTTTAGATAAAAAAATTTGAGATCAGCATCAAATTGGGACCACTTCAGACCATGAAACTTTTTTTTCTACTTTTTGAAGATTTATTTCTATTGTGTAAAGCAAAACTGTTTAATATTTCAATTTTTATCACACTTGAAAACAAACTATTTCTTAATTAAATGTTCAACAAAGCGTATCTAATCTAGGTATGCACCGGTATCGGTATTCATACCGAAATATCGATACCGAAAATACCAAACTTCGGTATATACCGATACCGAAAATACCGACTTTTTTCACTTAGAATTTTTTGAATTTTTTCATTTGAAATGAGATGTTTTAGCGTCCTGGACACCCAGAATGAATCAGGGACGGAAAACAAGAGCTTTGTTTGCTTTCTAAAGCCAAAGTTTTTCTTTTCTTTCTATTTGCACATGCTCAAAATACACAGCTGAGTGTTGTTTATACGTTCTGCTTGTCCAGGATGCTAAAATACCTCATTTCAAATGAAAAAATCCAAAAAATTCCAAGTCAAAAAAGGTCGGTATTTTCGGTATTCGGTATACCGGTGCATACCTAATCTAATCGATAAACAAAAAGACAAAGAGATCTCCCAAAAAAATTCCAACCAGGACCAGTTGGAGCCATTAAACGTTTTAAAAAGTGGAACAAAGTCGGACCAAATGGATTACGGTTCGATTCGACTTGGTCCTGGATTTGACCATACGGAGCCCTGATAGATATATCTTTTTCATCAAGATGACATAAATTATTATAATTTGAAAAAAATTATTACTGAATTTAAATGTATAAATATCAATTCTAGGTCAAACGAATACTAGTGCTGCTGGTACGAATGCTGAAATTAATTTTATAAAAACGACCAGAATGAATTTATCTCATGATCATAGAATGACCGAAAATAATCTGATCTATACGTGCAAAACATATGATAATTGCGAGAAAGCATATGCAGAAAAAATATTCGATGAATATATTCATATAAATTTTAATAATTTAGAAGAGCAGTTATCATCTTTATTGTTTGATAATGAAACAGATTTAACAACAAATAATTTAAACTGTTGGGATAGTCAATGTACAAACGATGAATTATGTGGTATTCATTATCATTTACCATTTAATCAAGCTAATCCATTTCGTACATTTTGTGAACCATCTAGTTATTCATATAAAATTAATCAATCGATTATTATTCTTGAAATAATTGAAGGAACGGTATATTCACCAACACGCATCTATAAATGTAATACAAATAGTTGTAATTCAGAAAAACGTATTAGAAAAATAGATGAAATATTTGAAAATTATGGAATTATTAAATCGGAATCAACAGAAACAGGAATAATAAGGTAATTTTAAAATATAGAAATTATCTTATACTGATTTTGTATATATTTTAGTGAACATTCTACACATAATCAATCTTTGACAAAAACAGTTAAAATATGGCCGCATAACAATTGTTTTCGATCCAAACAATTTTCCATATATTCCTATATTATCGTCGTATTTATTATGTTGACGATATCATTATAGATAACACTATTAGATAACACAAGTATATATCAGTAGATTAGTTCAGATCACATTGAAACAATTCGTTTAACGTTTAATCTATTTTTCGTTATGATGATATTATTCTATATAATAAATTCATAACTAATTGCACCATTCATATGATGGTTAGACAATACATTTTCTCAATTCATATTATCGTCGTTTGTCTCCGTATGCACGTTTCTGTTCTTTGTATATGTTATAAAAATTTTTTATGTGACAATGGTCAGAAAAAGTAACTAATCTTTTTTTCTCGGTTTACTCTTGATTCGTCCCTAATACTTACTTTCACTTTTGATATCACCTTTGATGTTGTTTGGTCTGCAAAGTCAATTAGGGACAAATCGAGAGAATACCTTTTTCTCAGTTATCGTTACTTTTCTACCAATTTTTCATTAGTTTTAGTGTAAAATTTCATTTTGGCTTTATTCCCGGTCTTCATTGGTAACTAATATATATTCAGATGGTAATTTTTTTCGTAGTGAAACTTTTTGTTTTTGCTAACTAATAAATAGGTGCATGTGTTTATCATTACATCATTGGACATGTTTTCAATTTTGTTGTTATGCATGCGCCATCAACCAAATGAACTGGACGGAAATGAAATAGAAAATGGCACATATAAACTATCCCTAACACTTGCTAGAACTCGCTGAATCTTTTGACTGTAAATGATAGATCAAAATTTAAAATTCTACTGAATCTTGATATCGCGTATTCGGTCACGTATTTCAAAAAAGCATAAGTAAAAACATATCAACTATTAGCTAATAACATAAAATTATAAGGATTATTTAAAACAACATTAATATGCAATAGAAGATTTGATATGAATTTTAAAATCTTAAACGGTATTTGAGTCAGTATAGCTAATGAAACAACAAACTTTTTAACCCAGTTTCTTTCATTCTCTTGACTCTAAGTTAAGAATCATAAAACCAAAAATGTCTGTCTGTCGATCACAAGATGGCGAGTGTGCAGGAATTTAAAACAAAAATGAATTCTTCAAATCGAAAATTCTCGTGTGGTTTCAGTTCATGAAAACTTTGTAAAATGATCTTTTGCATGAAGGATCGTTTGGAATTCACTATAAGGCATGCCTCGCATACCGTTGAATCCATTTTGGAACCTTATCAAATAATAACCAATTAAAATGATAGATTTATTTGTGAAATATAGTTATCATGCAGGAGGATGCAGAATATGAAAAAGCAAAGAAGAGAAAAGATCATACTCGCTTATGGTTCTGAATATTATCCATGATTGCAATACATATTACAATATAAAAGAAAAATAACTACTATATTAACATCTAAAAATATTATCATTTTTTCATCTGAATTTTAAAGCAAGTGATAATTTTCTTCCTAGATTCCAGTACAAAATTCTCTCTCGTTTTGCATTTTACCTCCAACATGATGTCCTGCTCTTTCATGACAGTCTTTAATTGTGATATATGATTATTCACATGCAATCACGGCATGTGACTGCAACGTGATTCACATATCTATTTGACTGATTACCATAAACAACTTGTAATTCATCAATAGTAATTAATTCAAAACGCTTAGAATCTCAAACTGTTTACTGAACTTCACTCCAACCCATCTTTTAGTACTGGTATAGTATTATTTTATAAACAGCTTATTTGATAACAAACTATGAACGAAATTTCTCGTCTATTGATTCGATATGATCCCCATGTACTAAAAATCGGCAATTAATCGTGAAAAAACATACGATTAATCGTGTACTTAATCGCGCTTAATTGCCGATTTTTTGGTGACTTTCAGGTGATTTTAGCGATTAATCACGATTCGTTGACGATTTTTTTCTTGATAATAAGTTCAAACCTACTTTAGGAAATACATATTTTTTTCTATTTTTTTATTGTTTATTATGTATAACGACATGTACGTCATCCAGCAAGGATCTTAGCACAAACTGAAGTCGGAGCCTTTCCGATGGGTCGATTTTAGACATTGCCCAGATACCAGCTGTTCACTGGACTCCTCACCTTAAAGCTCTGAAGGATCATAGATAAGACTTGACAACTTCGTTTTACTCTAAAATAAAAAGATGATCTAAACAGAAGTGTATTTCTTGTTGAAATCGTGTTTCTTATAAACATACTTTACTGCAAAATAAAATGGTGAATAACAATAACGATTTAATCGCTTAAAATCAACAATTAATTGCCAATTTTTAAAAAAATAAAAATCATCGGAATCGCCAATTAATCGCAATTAATCTGCGATTTTTCTAGAATCGCGCTTAATTGTTAAAAATTTCGTCGACATGGGCCGTTAAGTTTGGAATAAAATAACTCTATTTTATACAAAAATCGTTCTCAAAGTTTAGGTGACATATCAAAACTTCTTTTCTTCTACCGTTTTCCTTTTTTTCTATATCTGTTTTAATTTCTCCCACCAGCGGTATGCGAGGCATGCCTTATAGTGAATTCCAAACGATTCTTCATGCAAAAGATCATTTTACAAAATTTTCATGAACTTATTCGTTTAAAATAAAAGAAGTTAAATCTGTAGCAGAAAAGGATTCTCCTGCAATTTTGTATATTCGAGCCTCTACGAACTTTACAGTCAGATACATATCAAAATTTGATGGTTTTTTTTCTAGAGAAGCGTACCTCGAGATTTTTACATATTCGGAATGAGCGCGACAAGTTACGTTGTACGATCTCGTCGGGGTATTTCCAGTTTTGAGGTCCTTGGGACTCCATTTAGGTTTTCACGGTACATTACGCTATATCCAACTGTACAGTGTACACATCAAACACTACGTCCATTTTTTTTCTTTGTTCTTATTTTTATTATTTATAAAGAAGACACATATACGTGTGTAGTACGTTATTTTGCTTGAAAGAACAAAATAATACAGGAAAAAATTTTATATTTTGATCGAAATGTTCATTTATTCTATGTTCGAAAGAAGCAGTGCTCACTGCGAGTTTATCCTATATTCTACCAACTTCGCGAATTAAAATAAAAATAATTAGAGAGTATCTATTTCCACTTTTTTAATCCTCATTTGAAGTCCACATGCTGTACTGTTACTGATCAGTTTTCCAGAAAAAGGTCCCTTTTAACTTCTGGGATATGTGACTATTAATATTGCTGTTTAATGAATTAATTTTATGTATGAAATAAAATAAGGAAAAATACAAACATCAAAATCAGATTATTTCTAAAGGAGAGTGTCTGTAAATTTTTACATACTTGGAATCTGCCTGTTCAATTACGTTCTCTAGTCGAGACTCACGACAAAACTCCCATGGGACTCAGGTGGGACTTTCAAGGGGCTCCTGAGGACTCCCATCGGACTTTGAAGATTTTCGTTGGGCTTCCGCAGGACTCGAAAGTCGTCTAAGGAGTCCTTTGGACGTCCGACCTGGCAGGATCTCGTGACAGCAGTTTTGTCGAGAAAGTTATTGTATGGCACAAAGATCTCGTCGGAGTGTAGAAGCTTTTTGGGGGCTCCGTTGAATGGAACTTAGTCGATTTAAACTGAACTCGAACGTAGAAATCAAAGGTTAGAAACACTATTTGGAAAATTGATGAAGTCAGCGATGGTTCACGCAGAAGCTAAAGTATGATGCGAAAAAGTGTCATTCTGATAAAAAGAAAGAATGTTCAAACATATAGACGCAATCGGTTTGATATTTGTAATGATTTCCTCTGTTACTGTCAGCTTTCTAATAAATTATACGAGTGCTTGTGCGCTCTGTTGTTCTGTTTATATTCACATAGCTGTCGCTATAATACAATAAGCATTTTTATATCGTGTAAAAAACTCTGGAAATTGATAGATTTTACTTTAATCAGGCTGATGAATTATATCACAAAGATCACTTAGAAACATCAGATCGAGTAAACTGTCTCCTATTGCAATTGGCCAACGTTCTGAATCAATTCAAATCGAAGTATCATCTGTTCGCTTGATAGGTATAACTCATATTGTATTATACAATATGAGTTGATACCTATACAATTTGTATAGGTATCAATTGTACCACTCGATTGATTGAGAACGAAAGTAATTGAAGAAAGCAAAGAAAATCTGACCATTTTAAGAACAGAAATTTTTTGCTTTTGATTTTCGCTCTTTTCTGAAGCGATAGCAATTACTTCTATCTCTGGTGTCTTTTAAACGTACTAAAGCTGTTACTATGTGGGTTTCTTTTTAGATATGAAGAAAATTCAACTTTTAGATGTTGTTATCTTCGTCGACATCTGGCGATAATATCGACGAAGAATCATTAGAACGTCTAAGTATCCATTATCCATTTAATCGACTATCTCGTGATGCTCGTGAACTTTATTTGGAAACAACATCCATTTCTCGTATATCAGTACCAACGCCACTTGAATTTTACCGTGATTATGTGAGTAAAAATAAGCCAGTAATTATTACAAATGCTTTAAATGATTGGCCAGCGTTATCAAAATGGTCAAATTCTTACTTGAGAGAACAATTGCATGATACTCGAGTAACGATTGATATTACGCCAGATGGTCTGGGTGATGCCGTTAAAAAACATAAATATTTTGTCACACCATTAGAGGAAAAAATGAAATTTAATGATTTTATGGACATTATCGAAGGCAAAGATGATAGAAAAGAGATTGTTTATTGTCAACATCAAAATAGTAGTTTTATGACGGAATTTGAAAAATTACACGGCGATATAAGTGAACTGAAATGGGTGAAAGAAGCATTCGGGCAACAATCGCCAGATGCTGTTAACATTTGGATTGGTAAGACTAGTTACTACCAGAGGATAGGAGAACTTACAGTTGTCTACGTTTTCTATATTTTTTTAAAGTTTCTGATTAACTACGAATTTCTCTTGATATTATAGGTACAGCTAAATCTGTGAGTAGTTTACATCATGATCCATATGAAAATCTTTATGGAGTTATTCAAGGTCGAAAATATTTCACGTTGTATCCACCAACCGATTTATATTGGCTAAATCAACAAATGTTTAAAAAAGCGCATTATGAACGATTAACAACTGAGCAACGAATCATTGATGATAACGGAATGGACTTGAGAGATGGTTCTCAATTTGTGATTGTACCTGATACTGATCAGTCACTTGTTCCATGGTTCGATCACGAATTGGATATTGATACTGACTATTTAAATCCATTAAATGTAGTTGTTGAGAAAGGTGAACTGTTATATTTACCCTCATTGTGGTTTCATCGTGTAAGTCAAATAACGACGACCATTGCTGTTAATTTTTGGTACGATATGCAATATGATTTAAAATGGAATTATTATCAGTTTATGAATGAAATTATCAAACAAAGAAGACAAAACAGTCCTCTTGAATAAATTTTTGTATTGAGCGTTGTATTCTGTAAAACAAAAAGAACAATATATTTGCCGTAATGGCTCTAAAATATGTGAAATCTCGACAGATGATGTTCTTTATACGATCAGTCATCGTTTTTCCGACTAATGATCATTAGTCTCTATAATGTAGATTAATGGAAACTACTATCACTCTACTTGTCTCAAAAAAATGAAATCTGATTTTAATTCAAAACTTTTATTCAGTGAACTTGCTACAAAACGAAAGAGTGCACAAATTAAACATATCTGCTTTGATACCATCAAATAACATGCTGTGAAGAAAGAACGTCCACAATCAATAATACCTTAATAACTCAGTGATTAGATTGAGACTTGTCTTCCATCTCTAGTCGAGCCACTCATCGTTAATAGTGACTTTTAACTATTTTAGAAAAAAATTCATTCAAAACACACCATTCGTATCAAAAACTGCAGAATCTATGTATTTTGACAACAGTCTAAGGCTTTTTGTGGTTTCAAAAATAGTTTTCTTGAAATCTCAACTAGGAAATCCTATTACGAAAAAGAAACAATTTTCCTGGGGAAAGAGTAAGAATTCTGTCAAATACAATATTAGAGAGGTAATAAGTGTATGACAAATTTACTTTCATAAAACGATTACTATTAAGTTTAACAGAATTCTTGAACATGTACTCAAAAAAGTTAAATTCTTAAATCGATGTATTTCAAATTTCAATAGTCTTTTACTCTACATATTTGTCGGTATTGATTCTTTAATCATCCCAGTTGCTTTTAACAATAATACGCAAACACTGTTTGTTCTGCATAAATCGTTTATCATCACTCTTTTTCTAATTCGTATTTACTACAGATACACAGAAATCTTATCTAACAAACACTTTTTGTTTTTTTGAAAATATTCCTTCGTTCTTGACGTAAAGGTTTCTAAAGTTAACATATTTTTTTGCTGTTTTTCAGTGTTTTTCAAATACTTCGAGAACAAAGCAAAATTTTGAAAAGCAAAAAGTTACATATAGGATAGACTCTTGTGTACTTGTGGTTAATTATTTGAAATACTTCTCTCTCTATTTCTCTCATCAAACAATTTTGTGTTTCAATCGATTCCAGTTCCTTCTCATCTGTTTAGGAAAAACTAAGTACTCACAAATTTTTGTTCTTGCAATTCCACTGAAGCTATAAAACATTTTTTTACTTATCTGCTCAACACATGTGTTGTCGTGCTGCTTTACTAAAACAAGTTTCGGATTAATGTTACGTAGTGTTAAGACTTTGACCTACTCTTGTTGAAATTAAATCTAGAGGAACAGGAATTTAGTTTGATATATTTAACAGTGATTTTAAAATGGATAAAAGCACAAAGTAGCCAGGAAATTCAACATAATCTAGTCCGGTTTATTTCTTTGCCAATTCAGACATACTTTAGCGCGATTTTATCAATTAAATTTCTCCGGACTAGAATACACTATTTTTTGTTGTGATCCGAGTTATGAATGATCCTCGTTTTTCAGTACCCATCCTCTTTGCCCTCGTTTTCCGTCATTTTTCCTCTTTTTCGATGATTTTGTTACAAAGACGCCTGAGTTTTAGCAATTTCAGATAGGTGTGTAGTTTTAGGTATATTCTTCATATCTATACCGGCACATAAAACGAAATTTAGTCCAGCATAGTTGGAAAAAACGGATTCGGAGGCTATTTCTGTGAGACGTTGGCTGAAACCATGTGTGAAAGACTCGACGCTCATCTGTATTCATAGAATAGTCCGATGTTTTGCTGTTTGTTTTGTTATTCTCAACTCACTTCTGTTCTCTCTATACATGTGTTTTTGTGTAATGAAATCGTGAATAAACTAGGTGAACATCTCAGCAATGCCGTGACTTATCACCTCCGAACATACTGCCACCCACAGAGACCTGCAATACACTTTTAGATTGGAAAAAATCCTCGTTTTTCAACACTAATCCAATTAACACTAAATTTTTTTAGAAATCCTCTTCGTTCCTCTTTTTTTCAAAATGACCGTTCACAAACCAGTTTGTGATATTTGTTTCTTTGACATGTTATAGTATATGCTCCTATTGTCGTGTGACACGACAGAAAAATGCTGTTTTAATTATGCTGCAAAGTATCATCCATCAAGCTACGTGAAGTTTCACCTGGAAGCGACAGTAATTTTCTAATTAATTAAAAATCGGGCTATATTGTACATAGTGATAAAAAATATTATCCTTTTTTCTGTATATTCTAGCCTTGCAAAATTCAATTAATACAACCGAGAGTAAATTATGTCTGAATTGGTAAAACAATAAACCGGTGCCGAATTTTCGGGCTACTTTATTTTACTGCCCTTTTATAATAACATCTAAACGTTTCGTTCAGTCATTTTCAGATCTATCTCATATATAACTTCTTTTTCCCATTCCATTCTCTACCCTTTTTTTCATGTTTCTGTATAATAAAATTTTGTTTTTGTCATGTTTAGGTTTTTAGTTTGTTTTATTCTGTCATAATATCAGCTAGTTTCTTTAGTATATAATCACGTTCTCTAATACCGTATCGTACATTGAAATGCATGTATGTGACTCTACACTATTTGAACTCGAAATTTTAATTTGTTCGTGTTTTTGTTTAATCAGATAGACTGAGCCCATTAATTTATTACATAAAATACCAATTATTGATAACATGGCTCATCGGTTTGGTAAGTAAACTATGTATGATGAAAGCCATGGATGTCAGCACAAGATCTATATTATGTGTGATATGAGTTAGTTAGTTCTTTATTATATGCACAAAAACACATAACCGAACATTTTTTTTTCCACTATTGCATGAAAATCTGCTATAAACTCATGACAACTTGTTCTGAATATGATTTTAGTAAGAAAGTTCAGTGGAAGAAAGAAATTAGATTTTTATTCATAATAAAATTGTTGCTGCTAAAACAATAACTAGCGCAAAAGGAATTGATATTGTTTGTAAGCGAAATCCAACATTACATAAGCTTGATGAACAACATACAGAGCCATTACCTGATATCAGACTGCTTGGACACGTTACTGCTGCACCTCGGAATGTCACATTATTATTTACAAGAGTTTTCTAAACAGAAATAAATAATATTAAGTATTGACTTGATAATAATCTACTTCTTTATCGACAAATTATTCTTTTCAATGGTGCAATACGTACAACGCAAACCTGATATGTAGCATTGTCTCCTGTCTGATATATTCCTTGTCCACTAGGATTAAAAGGATCAAGACAATTTGAATTAGCACCCACACAATAATAACAACTTAGACCAATACATAGTTGACAGACGGCTGTAAATAATAATAGCAGTTTATATAGTTATCTATATATTCATGCGTACAACATCCATCAACATTTCAGAAGGACAATTAGGCTACGAAAAGAATAATTTCATTCTGATTTTAGAGACATTTTTTATAATACTCAATAGCACATATTCGAATGTATGATAATTTCAGTGAAAATAATATTTCTAATACATACCAAATACAGTAAAACATACTAATAAGAACGATTGATAATTCATCTTTGATCGAAGTAGTTTATTATAGTTTAGTTGTAAAAAATAATTTCAGTTTTCCTCATCATAAAAAATGAAATTTTAACGCTGTAATCATTGTGAAACCTATAGTAAACTTTTTAATCAAAAAACAACTCCAAGAACAGTAGAATTATTAATATTATTTCCATATGACATAAAAGTGTAGATCGTATACTACAGAAAAACGAATTCATATAAATTTCTACCTGCTACAACAAAAAACAAAAACATATTAGAATTTTTGAAAAACTGTTTAACGATCTCTTGTATGAAATATTAGATTTTTTTTCATAATCAGTCGATATTGTGCTAAGCACCATAGTGATTTTTCAATTTCAGAAGACGTTTTTTTGAAAACTTAAAAAACTGATTTTTCTGAAATTCTAATATTTCATTGAAATGATGGAATTAAAAGAAATTAGTTCAATGATGTTAGTTTGTAGAGTAAAACATGTCTAGTTAAAATTTGATGTCTTCAAGTTAGGCGTCACTCGAACAGATTTGAAGAGTGAAATGTACTCTCTTACTTGTTGCTTACTTGATCGCTTAGCTAACTACAAACTAATCCAGAGTACTAGGACAGTTAACGAAGTAGTATTTGGAATGGTATTCTCTCGTTTATTATCAACGATTAAGTTATAATTGCGCTTTTTAGATTTTAAAAGCTTTGCTACGCATCCCATGTCGACGAAGTCGAGGTATTTTTAACAATTAATCACGATTTTTGAAAAATCGCAGATTAACTGCGATTAATTGGAGATTCCGATGATTTTTATTTTTTTAAAAATTGACAATTAATTGTTGATTTTAAGCGATTAAATGGTTATTGTTATTCACCATTTTATTTTGCAGTAAAGTATGTTTATAAGAAACACGATTTCAACAAGAAATACACTTCTGTTTAGATCATCTTTTTATTTTAGAGTAAAACGAAGTTGTCAAGTCTTATCTATGATCCTTCAGAGCTTTAAGGTGAGGAGTCCAGTGAACAGCTGGTATCTGGGCAATGTCTAAAATCGACCCATCGGAAAGGCTCCGACTTCAGTTTGTGCTAAGATCCTTGCTGGATGACGTACATGTCGTTATACATAATAAACAATAAAAAAATAGAAAAAAATATGTATTTCCTATGATGGGTTCGAACTTATTATCAAGAAAAAATCGTCAATTAATCGTATATTTTTTCACGATTAATTGCCGATTTTTAGTATATGGGATATGTAATGCATGTTAATAACTACGACGGGGTTTAAAAGTGATACATTTCAGTTTCAGTAATCCACAAGGCTTAATCATTTGTAGCACAGTCTAAAAAGAATTTTAAAAAGAGTGCAAAGAGGTTAAGTGTTTTTAAAGAAGAGTAAAGTCGATCATTTCCCTTGCATAGCTTCTTTCTTCGCTAATTGTAGTAAGTATTGGGCTGTCATCAATCATACAGATTCACTATTGCCAGTAAAATTGTCGAAAGGTTTATTTATTATCAATCTTTTAAACATTTAAATGAAAGCAACTTCTTTTCGCAATAACTAATTCGATTTTGATCCCAAATCTTTTATGCAAGATGGTCTTGTTTATCTATTGCTCAAGCTCACGGAAAACCTGAATTAAACTAATGCGGTTGACATTGTCTTAGTAACGTTCCATTATGAAAAAGCATTCAATATCCTTTGGTTATAATGGCATAGTTCATTATTTTCCGATATAAGCTTAGTGGAATGTCGAAATCAAAGATTAGAAGCACTATTTGGAAAATTTATGAAGTCAGCGATGGTTGTGCAACACAGAAAATGTTCACGCAGAAGCTTGCGATATAAAATATCATCCTGGTAAAAAGGTACGCATTCAATTGTCCTGAACCAGACTAATGTGGTTGATACTGTCGTCGTAACGTTCCATTTTGAAAAAGCTTTCAGCTGTTCGTTTTAGCCCTTTTCACTAGTACTCTTGATTGATTTGCTAGTTACTAAGCGATCAAAAGCAACAAGTAAGAGAAGGCACGTCACTCTTCAAATCTGTTCAAATGACTCATAACTGGAAAACATCAAACGAATCAACAAACGATTTGTTTACCTTGTGATAACGATCAAGATGAGCAAAAAAGTTCATCTGATTTTGATGATACGATGACTGTACACTCATTATTTCAAGATTCAAATGACTTCCATTTATCAAAATTCATTATATCATTTAGATCTCTACGGCACAACGCACAGTCAGTGGCGGTCAGGTGGGGTATCCCCCTCCTGCTTTTAAAATTTTGAGAAAATTTTTTCCGTTTTTGTGGAAAAAAGAAAAGTTTTCTCCATTTTTGGAGAAAATTCTGAAGCGATTTTCTCCGTTTTTGCATATGATCTTTTAGGAAAAACGCTCATTCTAAAGAGAAAACAAGAGAAACAAAGAGGAAAAGAAGAACAGTAAAGACGAATAAAGTTTTAATTGAAGAAAGGGAAATGAGCCCAAAGAAAGTTGCTGCATTTGAAATAAAAGGCAACAAAATATGTTAATTACGAAAATGTTTTGACTACTTTCTCCGTTTTTGGACTATGTCCCCCCTCCTGCTCTAACCTCTTCGGGCCGCCACTGTTTACAGTCTTTTTGTTACTCCATGATTGCGAGGTGGAAGAAATTATGACATTATACGCTGATAAAACAAACGTTATAGATTTTCAAGGATGACTGAGAATGATATTTTATTGGTTAAACATAGGAGAAAAAAAGCTGATAATAAACAATCGTCTCTATATTCTGAATGAAAGTAAACATGATGCAATTTGTGGAAGTTAGACCATACTGTTCGTCGAACTTATTCAAACTTTAACAAAGTAGAAAAAAAAAATTCTTATTTCTGAATCGTATATCGATATTTTATAGGACGAGAGATATTCTTTTTTCTTCATTCTTAGGTCGCTCTTCATGTCACTATCCTTATAACTGTGTATGTACATTGTTTATTGAGTATATGAACTGACAGGACGACGAACAGAATTGTACATTTATCTACATTTTTCTGAACTTTTGATATATTCACAGAAAAATGCATGGTGAAAATCGACAACTAGCTATATGTGGTGGTCTACTTGGTCTTTGTGGATTTATCATGGCTCTCATTGCCATTCGAATTCCATATTGGACTGTCATTCATTCTCACTCATCAACAACAACACCAAATATTACATCCTATGGACTGTTCAAACAATGTAATTTAGAAAAATGTACCACCCGTTCATCAAAACATTTCTCACCCATCATTTTATCGATATTGGCCACGTTTACCCTCTTACTAGGCTCATTTTTAACCTGTCTACTCGGGTTTTATTCATTTTCTCGTCGACATTTTTATTTGGCACCCATCTGTTTATTTATCTCGTGTTTTCTATTTCTCGGATGTTTGAGTATTTATGGAAAAGAATCGTTATTAAATAGTCATTCATCAAAATTAATCGTTGCTACACTCGCATTTGTCTTCAAAGCATTATATCTTGCCTCTTACATTTCTGGTCGATATTCAATATTGTACAAACAACATCAGCAAGATTTTGAAAAGAATTGTCAGCATGGTGATGGAGGACTTTGAATGTGTATCAAATTTTTGATTCATTTGTAATTGTATAATATAAAAATTTTTACGGTTTTGCTAATAATAAATAATTTTTTGTGTTTAAAAATGACCGTTTACTAAACAGCCTTTGGACAAGCAACAAATCCTAATTCAAACCTATTGTTTGATCTTTCATACAAGATAAAAACTATTATTAGATTCTACATTACTTGAACTAAAAAGTTCGTTCAGATTACGGCATGGTAATATTCCTGAAAAATCTGTGGTAAGTTTGCCGCGATCTACATTCTATGTTTTATTTCAACGAGAGCAAATGTATTGTTTATCATTTGATATGGTTTTTTTTTCTAATGAACAATGACACGTTCTAGATAAATAGTCTTTTCTTTTATAATTTGATTAAATATTAGGCAACTATTGTCAAAACGTCTATCACTCGTGTGATGTATAATATTTAGATTCTTTTTTCTAAACATCAATTCGTTGTTAATTTAAGAGAAAATAATATGAACATATTGTGATAGCAAAAGAGTGTGGTTTCTTAAAAGTATAAAGACTCTGTGGAAAACGTAATTTCAAAGATTATTTTAGATTATTCGATTGATTGACTAGTCAACAACAATCATTTTTTTACCTATCACTTGTTAATGAACATTTTTTAGCTGTAAACAGACTTGAGTAAAAAGAAGTCTTTCGTTGTTAATTTATTAACTTAAATAAAAATGTTGTCTTTTGACATAAAATGTGTTTAGAAATAAAATATGACACTTTCTCACATAAAAATTATTGTTTGCTTATTTATTTTCTTTGTCGGTTTTCGTACACTTGTTCGAATCTGTTGGAACGGATTTCTGTTGTGGATTCGGTGGTGCAGCTTCTTTTTTTGGTAATGCTTCACGGCCAATCTTTAATGCCATGGCTGTTTGAGCTGAAAAACAGATTCAAAATTTAACCCAATTTTAAAGTCAAATACAAAATCTATTTTCAGTAAAAAATACCTAAATGTTTGCCGCTGTGTTCAGCGACCTCTAATTCTAAAGCAGTGGGTTGTCGCGAACCATCGCTACCAGCAAATGAGCCTAAAACAAAAAACAGTGCGAAAATTCTTCAAACATTTTTGTTTTGATAGTCTTACCTGCCCCATAGGGTGAACCACCATGGATTTCATTCATATCAGTTAATTTTGGACTTGAATAACCGATTGGTACAAAAATCATTCCATGATGAATAAAATTTGATAATGATGTTAGAGCCGTGGTTTCCTGGCCACCACCTTGAGTTCCTGATGAGAAAAAGATTGAAAATGGCTTATTTACTAGTGCACCACTCATCCATAATCCACCAGTTTGATCCCAAAAGGTTTTCATTTGACCTGGCATACCACCATATCTAAAATAGTAGTAAAAAATAGAATAAACTGTTTTATTTATTATAAAAGATCATAATTACCTTGTTGGATAACCGAAAATGATTCCATCACAATTGAGTAAAACATCATTGAGTTTATCGTATGTAACTACTGGTACTTTCTCATCTTTTTTTGGTGCATGCATTTTATTCAAAACATCTTGAGATAATGTCTCAGGTACTTGAAATATTTCACATTGTGCACCAGCTGCTTCTACACCTTTTAAAACATGTTTTGCCATTTGTGCAATATGTCCATACATGGAATAATATATGATATGAATTTTAGTTCCTTTTAAATTGGCCATTGTATTTTTATTCGACTAATGATGGAAAGTACTAGATTACTGAAATCAAATATGTAATACAAATAATAGTATAATATAGTCACGTTCACACAGATATTCGATGTCATCTTAATCACGTTTCTTTCACATCCAATTGGTATATAAAAATTTTTTCAAAAATCGATTAGATGTACAAAAAACTGAAATTAAAGATGTCTGTGTGAATGTGACTTTAGACACGCGCTATACTAGATAGCTGAAGATTAAAAGTAATTATTGATCATCTAAAAGTAAAAATGTTGCAAGTTTTAGTTGAATAAATTGTTGTTAAAACTTCTGAAAATTAGAAATGATTGAATGCTGAAGAATTTCAAGAGTATAAAAAGTCAAACATCTTTAATTCTAACGATGTTAGAGGTTACATATTTTGTATCAACTTACAGGTAAAGTGTATGACTAGAAGTTGATATGACAGTGTATATTTTTCTATTCTATACTTATCTACTAGGTAGAACCTAAACTACACTTAACTATTTTTGTTTATGTTTTATATTGTTTTTCTTACATTTCTTTTATATATTCATATAATAAGAGAGAATAGAACGAAATAAAAAACTATCCTATAATATATTTACTCGATTTTAAAAGGACAGATAAAAAATCTAACCCGCTATTGTCTTTATTGTTTCGTGAAGAACAGATAGAAAAAGTCAGTGTTGAATGTGTGTGTTCTCTTCTTTGTGATTAT